ATATATATATATATATATATATATATATATATATATATATATATATACTTTCACTCTGTGCAAATTATCTGGGCAGATAAGTGGAGAAAGACTCAATGAATCATATGCCAATCTTTCAACCAATGGCACCCTCAAACTTTTCCCTTTTTTCTTAAAGTAGTCTCACTCGGGGTAGCTATTCAGTCAGGTGTGGATTTTATTTTTATTCTGTTGTTATTATTACTGTTGTTGTTATTAACCACATGCCAACCAACTGTCCATTGATAAACTTCTAGAAAGTCTTGCCAGTGGTGGGTGGGGTGTTAGAAAATGCAGGAAATAGCCCTGAACATTTGAATCCTCCTAGGGTAGACAATATCAACAATATCTGGTCTTCATGGTGACTATTCAGACTCTTTGACAAACTTGTTATCAGATTCACTGTGCCCTTTCTCTTTTATCTACCTGCAATTTATCTTATTTGATTAGCTAGCTACTGATGGGATATATGTCTCCTCCAGTATGCGGTACAGGTCATATCTACTATTTCACTCATATGTACAGTCCAGTAAGCAGTATCTCTTCAGATATCTTTTGCATCAACAGCTTGGACTGTAAAGAACAAAATTATGTTGTTGAAACCACCTAGTGTTTGATCCTTTATTGTAATGTGTAGGACTAAGAGTATTAGCAACACACTGGCAATCTACAAATTTATTAGAGCATTTAGAGACAGAAGAACAATGGATCTCTCTCTCTCTCTCTCTCTCTCTCTCTCTCTCTCTCTCTCTCTCTCTCTGTTTCTCTCCCTTCCAGCTTCCCTCCTTCCTACCTCCCTCCCTCAGTTCCTATTTAATCCGCTTCTGTTTAGTCAGGGGAAACAGGAAAAACTATCATTTCTTCAGCTCTGGTAAATATCACAAAAAAATGTATCTGTCTGGATAGCTAACTATATATTTCTTTCAACTCATGTATTCTCTAACTATCAATTTCTTCTTTTTTCTTTTCAACATTTCAATTTCCTATGTGTTAAACTGGAATATGAACTCCAAGGCTCAGTCCTGGAAAGGTTATGATTACCTTCATATACAACTGCACTCAGGTTAGCCCACATTCAGGGTTTCAAAAGTCCAGCTTGGAGGAAACAGAAACATTAACCCTTCCTTTTAAATCCTTCTCATATTTTCTCCCAACAAAAACAGCAAGAATGGCCTTGACCATTGTTAAAAACATAAAAATAGCATCCTTTTTAATTATTTTGTTATCCTACCATTAACTGGGAGTTGCTGGTGTATCTGTGCCATGAAAACCCTGTGTAAATCAAGGACAACTTTCAAGAGTTGTTTCTCCCCTCCCATAGTAGGCTCACAAAAGCTACCTACTAAGCCGTATCTCTATCCCTGAAGTAGAACTTTTAAACTAAACATAAATCTATTTTAAAATAAGCATGGTTTGAGAGATAGCTCAGTGGTTATAAGCAACTGCTGTTCTTCCACAGAACCAGAATTCTGTCCCTAGAATCCAGGTTCAAAGGCTCATTACTGCTATAACTACAGCATCTGGGGATCTGACACCATTTTCTGGCTGGGGAGACATGGTAGTCCACCTATAATTCCAGTACTCAAAAGGCAGGGACAGTAAATCTCTGGATTAAGCTGGCTAAAATAGCTGTTTCAGGGAAATCTGAGTTCAACTGAGAGATTCTTCCTCAATGAATAAGATGGGGAGAGACAGAAAGATGCTATATTTAAGCCTCAGGCTTCCACACACATGTGCATGCTCATCCATGTGTGCCTACCATACATATACACCTACATTTAAGCAAACATACAAACACAGACATATTATTCAGATATCTACACATTAAATAAATAAATATTAGATGATCTGAGAGATTTAATGTATGATGATAAAATACTTATAAAGAAATTCTATTTCTCCATATATTCCATTTGGAGGGGAATGGAATTATGTAACTAGTTCTACTTTTGAAAGCCACTTATCAGGTGTGGGAGTACCTCAAAAGAAAGTTAGATGCTTCATCTAAAATATTTGCTGATATCCCAACCTCTAGAACCTGAGAATGCGATAACATTCAGTAATGAGAACCATTGCTGTAGTGGGTATGGTAGGTGATGCCAAAGCCAGATGGGTTGAGTATAGTATGCCCTTACAAGACAGAGAGAGACATGCATGGAGAAGAGCAGACAGGGACTGAAGATTTGCAGCTGCTGGGGAATGCCAAAGATCAATAGCCACCATCAGAATCTAAGAATGGACAGAGAAAGAAGTGTCAGGGAGAGAGAGGACTGCCCTATCATGACCTGGACTATGAACATTTAACTTTGGGAACTGTGAGAGAAGTTGCTCTTAAACTGCTACGTGCACATCACTTTGTGAGGACAGCCCTGGGACACTCATATCTATCCTAGGAAGCTACACATCTGGCTAGTCTGCATGACTTTTTCCCAGAGCAGAGGGAAAAGCCTGGGGGAAGAAGAACACAGGGGAATAGATAGATAGAGAAGATGGCTCCTGTCTTTCCTTAGTTACCAGGAGTGAGTCCATGGGGATGTGTGAGCCTGGAACTGTAGGCTTCCAGAAGACTCTGGAATACAGGAGAGGAAGGTTCCATAACACCATCAGCAAGATTGAAAGGCTGAGACTTAGAAGGCACTCATTGTCTATTGGGGTTGCTTGGACACCATTTAATAAAAGATAACTACCAGTCCCTATCAAACCTATAATCAGCAAGGTAAGCAAGCAGACCCAGGCCAGCCCAGGAGCTGAAAATCTTATGATTCTTGTTGCTCTTTCCTTTCACCCAGATACTTCCATCTTACAGCAGTGAAGGAGGGTTGTGTAAAGTGTATCAGAATCGTGTGACTGGTAAAAGGGTGGTCAAGCTACTATGGCATAGATAGGGAAAGGATAGATTCAGTTCAGATAGACATTTGAGGTTTTCAAGTAAAAAGGCTGAGCCTTAAATGTTAAAATAAAACAATTACTATATCCTGAAGAGATTAAGAAGTGCTGTGGAGATAGAATTATTATGAAAGGAGCCAGCTCCCCTGAAGGAAAAAGAAATCAATTGTATACTATTTTTCTTAGCAGGAAGAATAAAGCTTTTTGTGTTTATAATGCAGTAAGTCATGGCCTCAAAGTAAACTGTAATTAAAATAGCAATAACATATTGTGGAGATCAAGCCATCCCACTCTTGGGCATATACCCAAAGAATGCTGATACATACCATAAAGATACATGCTCAGCTATGTTCATAGCAGCACTATTTGTAATAGCCAGAACCTGGAAACAACCTAGATGCCCATCAACGGAAGAATGGAT